TGTATACAAAGTAAGCACCCTGGCTTCCTGCTGAGTCACTTAGCCAAACCTCTAGACTCCCCAAGTTGACACAATGTATCAACCATAACAAGGATCATATGTAAGCCGGGCATGGTAGTGCACGCCTGTAAGCCCAGTACTTGGGAGGCTGAGGCAGTAGGTTTGCCATGAGTTCGGGGCCAGCCTGGGCTACATAGTGAGTTCAAGTCCAGTGTAAACTACATAGCGAGACCCTGTCTCAAAAAAGAAAACCAAAAAAAAAAAGGATCATATTTGGACTTTTGCTAGGAATTCAGATGACGTGTCTCTTGTGTTTTTGTCTGTTGTAGAAATCCTCACTGGACAGCTTCCTGTTTCCTACGGGTTGTTACCACATCATCTACAAGGATGAAAGTTGTCAAGTTGGTAAGCGGGATGCTCTTCCTCGCCTGCATGTTTCCGGCCTGCTGTGGAGAAATTCCAGTTACTGTGCTGTGCTCCATGGACTGGTTCATGGTCACAGTACAGCCCTTCATGTGGAACGACGACGTGTACGTACACTTTCATGAGCTGCACTTGGGCCTGGGTTGCCCCGTCAACTATGTTCAGACACACATGTACCAGTTCACCTACCGTGTTACCGAATGCGGCATCAGAGTCAAGGCTGTCTTTCAGGATGTAATCATCTACAGCTCCGAGCTACACTACGCTTCGAAAGACACATCATCTAAATACGTGATCCCGCTGTCGTGCGCTGCCCCCAGACGTTCCCCATGGCTCACCACGCCCAGCTCCACTCAAGGTGCCAGCCAGAGTGCAGCCATGGCCCATACTGATGAGACCCACCACCAGGCGTCCACCTTGGCACAGCCCAGCCAAAGAGCCCACTGCGATTGTAGATTTTGTGTCTTCGCTGAACAGCACATGCAGGCCCCCCCAAACCAACCAGAGGCTCAAGACCCTTGTCCTGGGCTGTTATCTTATTTTGCTGATATTTCTGAGGACTAGTGTCTTCAATCCAATGATCTGACCTAACTCATGTGATCCCCAGGGTTGCCTGAGTCACCTGAGGATGTTCCTAGAGTTAGCATGTAGTGTATTCTAGTTTTAGAAAAAAATAAGTGCCATTATGGCCCTCTCCGGGGGCAATCTTAAGAATGAGAAACTCATGTAAACTTTATGATTGCATCTTTAAAAATACTTTTTCCTCTTTTTGAAGAAACAATATAAAATTCTGATGGCACAAAAATGTTAGTTCGGTGTTTTTATTTAATAAGCATATATATAGATTTTATGATGGCCTAGCTCTGTTCTAAGCGGTTTGCAAACATTAATGCCTGGACTCTTTTCTCTAGGATAACTTATATCTTCTTTATGGTCCTCTAAGAAAGCCTTCCTCACCTGCATCTCGGTCTCTATTCTCTGCACCACTAATTTAGAACTTAGCTTCATGCCTTCTTTGTTTGGTCTACAGCTGTATCACTTTTCATAAATTGCGCTAGTGATTTTAAAATCACCAGTGCTCCTAAGAACCATACAAGTCACACACCCCCAGCTCTAGATGGTAGGTTCCTGAGACTAAGAGCTAGATCTTACAGTTTAGTCATTGAATGATATACTTTGAAAGGAAGCTCCCCCGCACCCGAGCATATATGATTAGAAAATTTTCACCGAAGTTTGGCTGCCTATTAGCTTTGTCAAAGGCTTCACGGAATGACAGCAAGTGAACAACAAATACTTATTATTCAGTGCTACTGCATACTAGGTATGGGTCTAGGCACTGAAGATGTAGCAGTAAGCAGAAAAGGACTCAGAGAAATTGAGATCAAAGCCATGGATGTAGCTCAGCAGTACAGTGCCTGCCTGGCAAGCTTGAGGTCCTGACTTCGATTCCTGGTACCAAAAAATAAAAATTAAAAACATTTCAAAGGCCCAGCATGGTGGCGCACTCCTGTAATCCCAGCACTCAGGAGGCTGAGGCAGGAGGATTGTTTCAAGTTCGAGACCAGCCTGGGCTACAAAGTGAGCTCAAGGCCAGCCTGAACTGCACAGGGAGACTCTATCTCAAAAAGATTAAAAAAAAAAAATTAAAAGAAAAAAGAAATTGAGATCACACAGCTGATGGACAAATAAGTAAGTGAGCGATGATAAAGTCAGGTAATAGAAAACTCTATGAAAACTTACAACAAAGAGACATGAGAGAAGCTGAGAAGGGAGCCTCTGAGGACTCGTGATTTGAACTGAATTTTGAATGTGAAAAAGGAGCCAGTCCTGGGATGGCCTGCAGAGGAAACATTCCAGATAGGAGAAGCATCTCATTTATTCCTCTCTACAGCCCTATGAGTAGTCTTATCACATCCATTTTAAAATCAGGAAACTGAGGCACAGAGTGACTAAGAAACCTGCCCAAGGCCACACACCTATTGAGAAACAGACTCTTTCAAAGCATCCTGTTGTATGCCACAAATTTATACAATTTTGATTTGCCAGTAAGAATTAGTTTTTAGCTGGGCATGATGGCACATGCCTGTAATCCCAGTACTCAGCAGGCTGAAGCAGGAGGACCACTGTGAGTTTGAGACCAGCCTGGGCTACAAAGTGAGCTCAAGGCCAGCCTGAACTGCATAGCGAGACCCTGTCTCAAAAAAAAAAAAAAAAATTAGTTTTTAAAGAAGTGGCAATGTTTTCATGTAGTGGTTTTGTTTTTTGTTTTTTGGGTTTTTTTGGTTTTTTTCTGGTACCACAACCCGAACTCACGACCTTGCGCTTGCCAGGTAGGCGCTGTGCCGCTGAGCTAAATCCCCAGCCCCTTCATGTAGTGTTTATACATGTTAATATAGGTAAAGTGTTTTAGTTGATGAGTAAATATGAGAAAGAGTCACAAGCAGAAAAATATAGCAATCCACTTAAAAATCCCTTGCTCCTTCTTGAGGAAAACCAGGTAAACTTGGAAGCAGCATATTCACACAACAAGTGTTTATTGCACTTGTCCTATGTGCCAGGCACTATTGTAAAGCCAAGGATACAATGGCAAACAAGACTAACACAGTCTAATGGTGAGGTGCACAAGTAAAGATGCCTAAGGGTCTAGAAGGTATTCCAGCCCAGCTATTCCAGAGAATGGTAGGGCTGGTGATACAGCTCAGCAGCACAAGTGCCTGCCTGTCAAGTGCAAGGTCCTGAGTTCAATTCCCAGTGCCAAAAAAAAAAAATCCTTCCAGAGAATGGGCTCTTGCAAAGCCATGAGGATTGGGGCTGAGGTCATGGGTAAAACTGCAAGTAGTCTAGTCCAATACAAGGGAAGCAGGGGGAAGGCACAGATGATGGTTAGGAGCAATGAAGCCAGAGAAGCCACAGTGCATGAGCTATGTACAAAACAGCTAGCACTTACCTGCCTCATTCTCTCCTCAGAAGCTTATAGAACCTTAAAGGCTAAAACACACACAGGTTGGGCTGGGGATGGAGCTCCATGGCACAAGCACCCTCCTAGCAAGTGAAAGCTCCTGAGTTCGATTCCCAGTACCAAAGAAATAAAATAAAATAAAACACACACAAGCAATTTTTCAAACAACCAATATTAAACATATTAGAGCCACCGTGTGCTAGCTGAGCATTTCACAACTGCAATGGGAAATCTTCACAAAGGCACCCATTTTGTGTAGTGTAGCAGCCTCAGAAAAGACCCAAGGCAAATCCAGTAATGATAGTAGTTACCATGTGCCAGACATATTGCTTAGATCATCTCATTTATTCTTCACAATAGCGCTGTAAAAGAAAGATAATTTTCCCTCTTTTATAGATGAGGAGACTGAGGCTCAGAGAAATTGAGCTTGTATGGCTAGTAAATAACATCACTCGTACACAAATCCAGTTCGCTCCACTACAAAGTCTGCTTTCACTTGCATACTTGTTATGGTTTGGCTTTTTTTCCAGAAAACTAATGAGTATTTATTATTCTAGTTCACAGACTTTGAAATTATTTAAAAGCAGTTCATTAAAAACAATGTACAAATTTTACCAAGTACTTCTGAGGTAATCCACAAAGCTGCTCGTATAAATGCGCAGTTTCTTTTTTGGTAAGTGGCTAATGAGAGTTGCATAAATTTTGAAATATCCCCCCAAAACTCATGTGCTAAAGGCTTGGTTTCTAGCTGATGGGCTAGTTACAGAGCAATTACGTCATGAGAGCTCCATCTGTTCTCAAGTGGATTGATCTATTGATGAGACCACAATTTGATGGCATTTTTGGGAGGTGATGGAAAGAGGAAGTGAGATCTAATTGAAGGAAGTAGAGGCATGACCTTGAGGACTATATCTGGTCTGAGGCCCACTCTTCTTGAAATTTTTTCCCTTCTCTCTCTTTTCTGGTTGCCATGAGATGGGCAGCTTTTCTCCGTCAGACAGACCCTTCTGCCATGTTTCTGCCTTACCGCGGGCCTAAAAACAATAGAACCAGATGACCATGGACTTAAACCTGTGAAACTGTGAGCCAAGATGAATTTTGCCTCCTCTAAGTGGTTTATGTCAGGTATTTGGTCACAGTGATGGAAATTTGACCATACAATACCTAATACCCACTCCCAGAGAAGAGAATCCTCCATGGAATGGAAGATCCAGTAAAACTTGCAGTTAGAGGTAAGCAATGACCCCACTCTTAGAAGGTAACGAAGACTTATCTGAGCAGAGGAGAATGAGAAGAGGAGTGGGCAGGAGAAGGAGAAAGAATCTTGGTGAGCATAAGCACTGAGACAGGGTGAACAAGTGCAGACAATTGCTCTAACCTGGGTGAGATGAGGTAAGAACAGCAGATGAAGAAAGGACTTGAAGGGTAGGAAGAAAACAAACTGAATCATTTCAAGCGAATAACAAGGTTTCAATTCTTTTAACTTACAACCATGATTAAGAGATAATTGAGTGGGATGGGTGAATTTGGAGTGTGGAAATCTCCAGACCCTGAAGCAGGGAGGACAGGTTTCGAGGAAGACATAGGATTTAAACTAAGCTATGATCTGCCTGACTGCATATATGTAAAAAACAAACAGCTTGGTTCAGAGAAAACATCACCATTTGGAGCCCTGTCGGCTCAGAAAACATGGTGCTCTCTAAATTTCCGTAAGGAGATTCGAGTGAGGGTAGATGATAGGGGATAAAGATTTGTATCGGTTTGTACATGCTGAGTTTGAGGCCATAGTGATATCCACAGTGGATATGCCCAGGAGTCTTCAAGAAATGGAGCTGAAGCTCAAGTAAGGGGTAATTATGAGGGACTAACCTCAGGGGAATGACATGAATGTAGGCGATCTGGATCACGGAGTCAGCATTCCCAAATACTCAGTCTTCAATGCATCATTACGAAAAGGGTAGAAGAATAGATACCAAGGAATACAGAAGACAAGTGATCAGAGAGGTGAAATGATAAGTCTAACTCATGGAATTCTAGTGAAAAGGGCTGGCTGGGCCATAGACTCCTGTGTAACAGATAAGCCAAGATGAAATAAGCCAAGTATTCATGGAATCAGACACTTTTAAATTGGACCTTAAATGAGAGGTAGAATTGCAGGTGAAAATGGAGTGGCAGGACATTGTAATATACTGTAATTTAGATCAGGCAAAAGGATCAGCAAGAATAAACATGCAGGGCCAAGTGTGGTGGTACGCACTTGTAATCCCAGCACTCAGGAGGCTGAGACAGGAGGGTCTCTGCAAGTTCAAGGTCAGCCTGGGTTACAAAGTGAATTCAAGGACAGCCTGAACTGCATAGTGAAATCCTGTCTCCAAAAGACAAAAAAAAAAAAAAAAAAAAAGAATAAACATGCAAAGAAACACTATAATCAAATTTTGCATGGCTTGACCACCCAGTATAATTAAGCATAATTTTTCAAAATTTGATAGTAACCTATACATCTTGACTTGGATATAGCTTTAACTCAGCAAATGTGTACTTTGACCATTTCAGGTGCATATTTGATATTTTCAACTCAACTGTATGCTTCTTGTGCTTGAGGGAATCTGTCTCCTATTTGTTTGTTTTGCACTTATCTTAACAATATGTGGTGAAGGCATCCAGGATTGCTCAGTCCAATTGACTGAGCAACTGGTACTAAGAAAGGGCCTGAGAGTCCATAAACAAAGAAACCATTCTAAAGATGGGAAGATCAAAACATCTTCAGAGAAAAATTGCATGTTAATTGACTAATTTTATTGTCTTTTTGAAGCACCAGTCCAAAGAATGTTTTC